AATATCGATGATTCGTTTTTAGATCGAATCAATGAATTGTTAAACGAATTCAATCAATGGCACCAGCGTGACCAAGAAGAACAATAACGTCGTCTATCATTTTATTTTTAGATCATATGTTACTAATTTTATGCTTTATTGTAGTCCATGTATGCCGATATACTTATTCCATGATAATTATATGTGTATCCTTTTGTGTGATGTAAATTAAATGCTGAATGGCGGTTCATGCAGGGAAAGAACATATCAATATTCACATATTCATTCAAAAACATGAAAATTCTTAATGGAGTACCCTCATTTCTTATTGAATTCCTAAAAAACAATATTTATAATGAATTTTAATAATTTTTTCGGATTTTTTTTAAGCTTTATTATGACCGATTCACCAGATTCCCGATCTGGATCGCCGATTCGTCGATCCGGATCGGTTTTTTGGAATCTCGATCCCGGTCACCGATCCGTTTTTTAAACCATTGGGGTGCAACTATAAAAAATATTAACAATAATATTTCGACAAAAAATAATGACCAAAATATCCCTTAAAACTTTCAGGGGTATTTTGGTCATTTTATTTTATTGAAAAAAAATTATATTTTTCGTTAGTGCGAGTTTAATAAAGGAATGGTCGTCCAAAATTTGGTGTTAAAACAGTTTATAGAAAAAAATTAAAAATAAAATAGTGTAGAGATGTGACATTGTGATTGGAGCAATCTTAACCTTTCATTAAAAAATAGACGGTTGGATAAGGGAAGGATAGAACTTCTATATTGTAAGGAGAACATAGAAAGCTTTCCCTTGAACAAATGGGTAGGGGCTGACTTCCCTACTAAATTATAAAAAAAAAAAGAATGAGGGGAAGAAGAAGAAAGAGATCCTACTAACTTATCAAAAAAAAAAAAAGAAGAGGGGAAGAAGAAGAAAGAGGTCCAGAGCTTTATTAAGGCCACAGTAAACGTACAATATGTATATCATATGCCATTTTGAAAAGGTTAAGTGGTTTCTGTGTTTGGGGATGTAAAACTACATTTGGGTCCCTGGGCCATCCCAAGTCCATCTTCGAGATGCATATAGTATTGTGGTCTCTTAAAAACAAACAAAATTGATGGTTTAGACTTTTTTCAATTTTTTTAAATTTTTTAAATTTATTCCATATTCACATCCTCTATGTTAGAGATTACATATACCTAAAAAGTTAGGTCCAAAATCCATCTAAAAAGGAAAAAAGTTTGTATAGAGCCGAGGCTCTTAACAATCAAATTAGAAGGCACCTCAAAAATTTCACTAGAAGAGGTTCTTTTGATGCTCAAATATCCTCAAATTGATCATCTCGACATCAAGATGCATGGACATGAGAAAAAAATGGATTTCAAGTTTTCAAAATAGTGCATCTTGTAATGCATTTTTTGACCATCAATTTTCAAGATTTTCAAAATTTTCAAAATTTCTTAGATTTGCTCGTTCTACACTATTTTTTAAGCTTTAAATTTTTAATTAGAAATGAAAATATATTTTAAGGTTATCACAAAGATTTTCAGTATTGAAACGACATTTCTCGATGTTGTTTGAAGGTGCGATCTACTAGCCTTAGCTTTATACAAACCACACCCTCTGAAAAATGGATCACACAATGTGGGGACGCATATCTAAATTTTCAACAAGGTGATATGTTTCTTTAATGAAAATTAGAGAATGACATTATTATAGTGCAATATTAAGAGTATTAAAGAAGGTAAGGCCCAGGTATTAATATTTTCATATATAAATATTAAATTAAGGGTGTGGTTTGTATAGAGCTGAGGCTCTAAACAATCAAATTAGAGCCTAACTTCAAATAGTGTTGAGAAATATGGTTTTAATACTCAAAATTATTGTGATAGCCTTAAAATATATTTTCATATTTATTTATAAAGTTTAAAGCTTAAAAGATCGTGTAGATCGATAGATCTATGAAAACTTGAAAATCTTGAAAATTGACAGTAAAAAAATATGTTACAAAATGCACTATTTTCAAAACTTGAAATCTATTTTTTTTCTCATGTCCATGTATCTTGATGTCGAGATGATCAATTTGAAGATATTTGGGCATCAAAACAACCTCTTCTAGTGAAATTTTTGTAGTAAGCTCTATTTTGATTGTTTAGAGCCTCCGCTCTATACAAACTCTTCCCTTAAATTAATATGTAATTCCCTTAAATTAATATGTAAGTTATAATACATAATTATATATGACGAAAGTTTTGAAAGTTTTGAAAGTTTTTGAAAGTTATGCTATGATTGTATATTCATAGCAAACTAATACAATTATGATTATAATTTACTATTTTATTACAATTTCTTAATAGTATATTATTGGAATTCTTATTTCATTATATATATTATGTTTATTACATCATTATAAAAATACTTTATAACAACAATAATTAGTTATAAATAATTATTATAACTAAATTTAACTACAGTATAACTAAATTTAACTACGGTAATGCAATTCACACTATAACTATAATTATATAATTACAATATTAATCAGAATAATTTTATTTTATTAGTAATATTTAACAGTTAAATTAAAGTATACACGTAATGTTTCGCTCTCCCCTAAGATCTAGTAATTTATTGATAACAGATGTACGTTTTATCTAGTTTCATTTTCTTTTATTATTATC